TGAAGCTGAGCAACAGATCTGCTGCTCTTTCACCACCAAAAGCCAGTGCACACACTCACTGCACCGTTCTCAATGAGAAGGGGAAGTTCTTAAAAGCAAATTGTAATATTTTTGATCTTGTAGGTAACTGAAGCAAGAGAGAAATTAGTAGATACATTGCACAGGAGTGAGTTGTTCACTCTGCCAGGAGCACATGTCCAGGTACTTGGAAGGAATGGGCTGTGTTGGAATATGCTTTGCAGAAGCAGTTGGTGAGGGATGATGAACACCCCCTTTCTAGATCTGAACCCTCTCCCAAGTTTACAGGTTTCTAAAACTGGGCAATGTTTAAAATAAAAGCAAATAAATAAATAAAAGTTGAGCGTTTGAGGGAACATAAACTCGGAGCTATGACTTCCAGCAGATCACAGTCTGTCTCCAACAGTTAGACTTGATGATTTTACAGGTCTTTTCCAACCTCAATGATTCTACGATTCAAACAGAAAAAAACCTGAACCTGCTTTGAAATTATACCAGACAAAACTGATTTCAAGACTGTGCTATGGGTCAGGACCATTTAATTTCTCATGACCAAGTCTCAGTTTGCAGTTGAAGTAAACTGTGAATATTGGATGTTTCACCTCCCTTTTCTCCACCTGCTACAATGTTACACACAGCCAATGCTGAAACAAACCAAAGGGGACTCTAAAAGCTTGGTGTTGCTTTTGTTTTTCTCACACAGAAATCAAACATGGGACTAGGAAGCAGACAGCCCAGGCTGTCACTTCCTCCCTGCCTGCCCAGACTTCCACTCCAGCCCATTTGAGGGAGATATGATCAACAGGCAGACAGGTCATCTGACAACAAATGTTAGATATTAACCTGGAAATAGGCAACGTATATCCAACACCTATAAAATTCTTTACTGGGATGTTCTCATCCTTCTTGGCAAAAGAAAGTTAAAACACTCACTTCCATGTGGGCTGCCTGTTTCTCTGCAGATAGAAATCTCTTGGCTTCCCCACCACTTGTGGCACACATCATTCTTTCTTTTCCTAAATGTTCCCCTCTCCCAGTCAGTGCAACCCACCCAGGGCTGAGAATTCAGCTCCTCCCTGGGGTTTGCCAACACTCAGTCTTCAGGTGTGCTATAAACCAGGTCAGGACCATTGCCCACAGCTTTGGGCTGGAGCAGCAGAGTCAGCAGGGCACAGTGACCCAGCCACGCTCCTCTTAATGCAGAGAACTGCTACTGTTTGTTTAAAAATGTGGCATCAGGCCAGCTGATAAATTTACCGAATAAATGTATTTTAAGGACAAGTACAAACATCCGCAGTTCCAAATTCAGCTTATGAAACTGTTCTTCCTCTTTTGCACTTAGCAAGAAAGATCAAGATTTATGTCTCAGATATGAAAAACAAATGGGAAATCTGCCTGCAGTTTTAATACATGAAAATGAATCCTTCAGTGTTCTCTGCCACTATTCTTCATTATGTACTTACAAAGAACTTTTCAGATATCTTGCATTGAGCCTGAAAATAAACATAAATCCAGGAACTGATCTTTGTACCTACCTACCATAGGATGCCACAGAAGTGGGCACAACACCAAGGCCAAAAATTAAGAGACACAGCCCTGCAGGTGCATCAGGACTAAGTATCACCTGGTGTTCCCTTTCCATCTGGAAGTTTTTTAATGCCCTTCGTCATTAATCAGGGCCATCTTCTCCCACAAGCTGCAGTCCCTCCACAGCTCCTCTGGCATGATGACTTCTTACTGTGGAAATCTGATCAGAGCACTCCCTATCCCAGACAATCTGTCTTAGACACCCTCTTGGTTCATGAGCAACCGATAGGGATTATTCCATAAAGCATCTTTTCCTCAAAGCCAACTATGACATGGTTACCATTGTGGAGATGTGGTGGGATGACTGGTGCAACTGGAGTGCTGCAATGGATGACTGACAGCCCTCCAGGAGGGATAGTCAAGGAAGGAGAGTATTGGGGTAGCCCTATGAGGTGTTTTGGTTGTCTGGAGCTCAATAATGGTGACAGTGGGGTTGAGTATGGGTAAGAATCAGAGAAAGGCCAACAGGGCAAACAGAAATGGTCAGCAATCTGCTACACCATTCAGACACACACAGATCTATGAGGCTGGATTGGATCCACCTAAGGGTACAGAGGGAGCCGGTGGAAGTGCTCACTGAGCCACTTTTCATCATTTAACAGCAGCTCTGACTAACTGGGGAGGTCCCAACTGACTAGAGGTTAGCAAATGCAATATCCATCTACAAGAAGGGCTGGAAGGAGGATCCAGGGAACTACAGCCTGAGCTCAGTGCCAGGGAAGGTCATAGAGAAGATCATCTTGAGTGCAATCACACAGCACATACAGGACAACCAGGGGATCAGGCCCAGCCAGCAGAGGTTTAGGAAAGACAGGTCCTGCTTGACTAACCTGATCTCTTTCTATGACAAGGTGACAAGCTTAGCGGATGAGGGAAAGGCAGTGGATGTCTGCCTGGACTTTGGTAAAGCCTTTGACATCGTTTCCCACAGCATTCTTCTGGAGAAGCTGCTGCTCATGGCTTGGACAGATGCATCCTTCACTGGGTTAAAACCTGCCTGCACCTCTGGGGCCAGAGAGTAGTGGTGATTGGAGTCACATCCAGTCACCACTGGGTTTCTCCAGGCATCAGCCCAGCCCTGTTTAATATCTTTATTGATGATCTGGACAAGGGGATTGAGTGCATCCTCAGTATGTTTGCAGGCAACACCAAGGTGGGAAGGAGTGTGGATCTGCTGGAAGGCAGGAAGGCTCCACAGAAGGATCTGAACAGGCTGAATCAAGGTATTTGAGAGATGTGCAGATGTGGCACTTGGAGCCATGGGTTAGTGGTGGGCTTGGCAGTGCTGCAGGAATGATTGGACTTGATGATCTTAGAGGGTTTTTCCAACTTAAGCAATTCTACAACAAACTTTGGGAGTTTCCTTCTTGTGTCTACCCAGAGTAAAAAAATTGAGTTTCTGGGATGATGTAGAGTCCATCTTTGAACATATTTATTTCATTAAAGGATGAACACACATTGCTTGCCTGACCTGTAAGTAACCTAGCAGAAACTGATTGTATTTTTATTAACACTTTGTTGAGACAATTGCCAGAGGCTCAAAAGAAAAATTAGAAAAGATGCTGCTATTTAAATCCTCTATGGAGGGAAATGCACTAGAAAGCCCTGTCAACCTTTTTGTTCCCAATATCACTCATTCTCCTTCTGCTGCAGTTCTATAGAAGAAACATGAACTGGAACTATTGTGGTGCCTTTTGCATCCGTGTCCAGGCTGTCCCTGCACATCCTACAAACAGCATTAAAAGGCACTTAAGGAATTTTGTGTCAGGAGACAAACACCAACTTATCAGTTTTACTACTGCTGTTGGGAGATGGGTGAACAAAACCATGTTTCATAGCCTGTACACCCTAAATCATGCTCTAACCACATTCCTCCACTTCTGGCAACAAGGCTCAGCTGACACACACTGTGCTTTTCGAGCAGACAGACCTCAGACAAGGTATGTTTGAGGTTTTGTCTCTTCATGAGTAAGTCCAATGGGGTTTTCCAGTCTTTCAAAATGCACTTACTGCTCTATTGATTGTTTTCATACTTCTTTCAGAATTTCACAAGGACACACTGAAGAAGAATTCTATTAGATGCACTGAAGCTAACACATACTTCACTCCTCATTACAAAAGCTGCCTTCTCAGCTGAAGCCTGATGGACAAATAAGAATTAAGAAACTATTTTAATGTAGCATCTGGCCATGTTCCTAAATTCTAAAAGTGCCTATACATAAAAATAAAATTAAATTCTCTCGTTCCCAGTGCATAAAAAAATTAAATCTCACAGCAAAATTGCTTCTCTCTGTTCATTTAATTAAATTAGAAAGCATTCAGCTTCAGCCATCTACATCTCCATCCGAGAACAACAAACACAACCAAACAGAATAGCTTTGAACTTCTGTCAATTACTTTTTCCTTCCTGACTTGTTACCTTCACCTACCCATGTCATTAACTCCAGCACCAGCGTTTGGCTGTGGCTCAGCCCTGTGTGTTCCAACCCACTGTTGTGAAATCACTCACTTGCTGCTTGCATAAGTCAAACTGTGTGGAAGAGGCAGAGTGAGGACAGGAGAAGAGATGTTTTCCCTCTGCCTCCTCACCAGTAAAGTAGCCATGGCAGGAAGGGACATGCTTGCATAGAGTTTCTACATTAGAGAGCGTTATCAATCTTTCATGACCTGAATTTGAATCAAAACTCACACTTGGCACTACTACCAGAGGAGATTTCACACATGATGGGGGGGAAACGCTATGTTTTCACTTGGTATGAGGAAGGCAGAAGCAGTTTAGAGCAGCTTCACTTTATCTCGAAAGGTTGGGGTGAAAGTAAAAGAGAGAAAAGATTCACGATTCGTATTTTGAGACAACAAACCTTCAGCAATGCCTGACCTCAAGACAAAAATCATACTGCAGTGTGACACAGGAGTGTTACAGGAGGAGAAACTGAGAAAATGTTCTTATTTCAAACTCGTTCTCAGCCGGAGTCAAGGTAAGTCTGTTAGAGCAGAATGCTCGGCCCAGCTTTTTTCCCTAAAGAGTTGGTATGGAATGATTGCTAATATTCTTGTTAGTCATTCCAGAGCTGAGTGGCCTCCTAACAATGGCACTGCATGAGATTTCCACTTGTTAGCCTGCATGTCCCAAAATGAATGGAGAATAAGAGAGATCTTCAAGGATGAAATCATTTGAAGGAAATAAGGCACCTCATAAGACTTGAGTACTAACACCGAAAGCCCAAGAAAAATAAAATTCTCACAGAGTAGGATTTCATAATTAAAGGGTTTTTTTATTTCTTCACTTTTTTCCTTAATACAAAGCTTTGGCATCAGCAAATTTTATGAAAAAATAGAATGTACTAAATAATTGCTTGTGCTGCATGATCGATAAATGATGCATAAAAATAGGTGTCTCTCTCCAAGGCAATCGGCCGGAAAGCGTTTCTTCAATACCATTCTGCTCTGCAGGGCAGAAAGAAAAAGGAACAAAATATTTATGTTAAAGTTAATACTGCCAATGCTCAAAAAAAATAATAAAATAATCCTGTAAAAGTAAGCTCGTGAAAAATGACTAATTATACAAGGCCAGAGCAGTAAGAAAGGTCTGTTCTCATCACGTCATTCTTACAGGAGCAGTGAAAACAGGACAGCCAGAGGTCTGAGCACTTCTGAACTGCTGGGGACACTCCATCTGCTACTGAAAACTTTCTTTAGGTAATGCTCTCCAACATCTGAGCTTTTGGGGCTTAACCTCACAGTTATTCAGTCATCTCTGACCACTCCCTAAGCAGCAAGGCAAAATGTGCTGCTTCTGTTCCTTTCAACCACTGCCTCAATCTTTTAATAGCAATACTGCAGAGATATTTTGAGACCAAGAGAAAGCAGCTGGTTCCTTGTTTTCTTATCACTTAGACAATGCTTACTTTTTATGACAACTACTTCAAAATGCACCTGTGTGTGTATATACATACACACAAACATACATACACACAGTTAAACATGCATATTCTCACATCTCCAGAACTATTGCTCTAAATAAACATGTTTAAGCTGTGGGAAGGACATGGAGAAAAAGGAACAGGATATGTTTTTGGGCGAGTTTTAAAGAAGAATATTTGGCATCTTCTACTTGCATCAGCATATTTTGTGGACTTATTCTTGCTACTGTTTCTGATAAGAAAAACCCATTGCCTTTCTCTTGCCACACTACCATAACAAGGGCAGGGTATGCCAGTTTTTATATGGAGAGCAGCACAAGGAGCAGGTATGTTATGACAGTCAATGGAAATCACAGTGAGGAGGAGCTGCCATGTGTCTGGCATGATATTCAGCACAGGAGATGCTCTGTCTGGCACTGAGGAACATAAGGTGTTAATGAAACAATAAATCTAAGCATTAGTGTCACTTAAAACTGTATAAAATGAGTAGTTGAACCTAGCAGCACTTGTGGAGGCTGCTCAGATTCCAAAGGATGCAGAGGAAGAGCTGCTGAGGTTAAAGGCTACAGTCAGGTACCTCAGTTACCTGAGTAAGTCCTTTTTGACAGCTCTGGCTTCTGTGGTTGTCAGTTTTCTTAAGTCTGACTCAAGTGTACACTCGTACGTGCTCACATTTCAATTCCTATCACTCAGAGAGGAGCTCTCCTCACATCAGCACACCCTTTGTTTGTACTGAGAGAACACCACTGTGAAAACACTTTGCTGGAGGCCCAAACTCTCTGCCAATGTGAAGCAGATTGTCCTTCCAGTAAAAACAGACCCAGATCTCACTGAGCAAAAGGCAACGAAGAGAACAGTTGCAAGGCAAGGCAGAAATGCAGCTGCTATCTGGGCCCACATCTGGATGATACTACATGGGCTACAGTTCCTCCTTCTCCCTAATGATGTACAAGTGCCCAGAAATGCAGACGTTCCTGTTTTACAACTCATCTTGTTCCATGCTTTCCCAAGCTACTTTTCCAGGCAGATTAACTGTGTTCAGCTGCAGCTACATAGCCAAGTTGCTGATTGATAGTAGCAGTTTCAAGCTTTGGACAAATGGGAAAAAAATAATCAGGAGATTTGATAGGGCTATTTGAAGTTTCAAAAGTTTTCTTCACGAAGCCCTTTTGGAATTAGCATATGAAAAGAGGAGGAAAGGAAGACTTGCAAATTAGTGGTAATCAAAGATCCCTGATGACCAAAACTTCCAAGGAGTTATTATGGCCCCTCCTGAAGATGGTTAGCTTGAGACTGTCTAGAATTTTACACTGGAGACTATTAGACATGTTTCCATCTTATTAAGAAGGACACCATATACTTTCCAAATAGCAATAAAAGTAAAAAAACCCTCACTTCTTTCTCTTATTTCAAGGGGAAAAAAGGGAGGGGGAAAGAAAATTATGTCTATAAAGCTACATTTCCAGACTGCACGGCAGACTGCCCTTGAATCTCAGCCCACTTCTGGTAGAGAGATCAGCACACTAATGGAAACTCAGCTGTGTCAAGATGCTCAGAGACAGAGAAAGATGTTGACACTTTGCCTTCACAAATAAATAAATAATGATTAAACATCCATCATGAGCCCAGATATACCTACATGAAAATACCTAGGTGTGCCTAGTTAATAGAACTGCAGTACTTGCCCACATACAGAGCCATCAAAAAAGACTGAAAGTCATGTGCTAGGGTCATTTCTTGTCCAGCCTGTCTGAAGGGAGGCTGAGGGTTTCTAGATAGGTTAAGAAAGCATGGAAGCAAGCATCTCTTCATTTCAGAAAGAAGAATCAGTAGTGCATTCATTGCTTTCATCTCTCCCTCTCCTAAGAGCAAAAAGGTAGTTTTCTACTTAAATACCCTTTTTTTTTAAACTTAGCTGAAAGTTTGCCCAGTAGTAATACAGATTTTTTTTTTTTTTAATATGAAATTTTACTATAAATTTGAGGTGAAAACTGTCAAAGGTAACTGCTGGTACTAACTTTTGGATCTCCAGGTGAATTCTGAATATGGGAATTTAATGGCAGAAATCAAATGTTTACCTAGACCATTGATCAAAACCTGAATATAACTATTTTTTGTTTTCCCCATTTTCATGTCTCCACTTCACAAGATTTCCTCTGACAATCCAACTAAATGGAAATTAAGAGGGACTTCAGGTGTTTACTCTGAAACCTACTTACATTTGAGAAAAGTATTCTGATTCCTTGAAAACTGCATTTCCACCCTTCTCTAGTCTCTCGGTGCTTATTCCCAATGTTGTCCGTGACACACACCCACCAGAAATAAAGAGAAACATCTGAACATTTACTTACTCATTAGCATTCAAGCTAGCTGTGGCTTTGATGATCATGTAGCAGAGTGTAAGGGCACTGAGGAGGCCAAAACTGGCAATAATAAACCATTCTTCTGTTGACAAAGGAAAGGGAGGAAATCACTCGTGGGAGAAGGCTTATGTCAAAGCGATGATATATTTCCCTCAAACACCACTGGCGGAAGGCAAGAGGCTTCTAAGCCATGACTGGCCCCAGGAGGTGAAGCAGAAGGAGGTTAGCCACAGAGTTACTGACGGGAGAAGGCTAGCAAAGAAGAAGTGGAGAGAGGTGCGGAAAAAACGCATGGCACAACAAGATTTCCTGGCTGAGCCCAAGGGTTAGTGATAAAGAAAGGTTACTTAACAATGTAAAGTGAAATGCAGGATCAAGGGAAAAATGTAATGAAAACTGTCCCGGCTCCCCAAGTCAGAAAGACAACTGTCAGGGTTGGGTTAGATTTAGGGAGATGTAGCTCTTCACATGAGAACACCCAATTCACTGTCACACTTCAGTTGTGTCTTCACCCCCTCCCTCATGAGTAAATGTTATGGTGTTACTTAAAAAAAAACCCAACAAAAATAGGAGAGCTTGTTCAACAGTAAAGCATAACTAGAGTTTTCCATTTGATAGACAGAAACATGTGGAAAAATAATTTCAACCTTAGCGTAGACATACAGACACATTAAAAAAGGAAGCAGGATAAAGAAGTCTCTAAAGAATGTTCAGTACTCAAAGTTGTCCCTCCCCAAGATCAATATGGTATATAGTAACAGTTCAGAATACGAACACTGTTGTTGAATATGGCTTTTGGTTTACCTCTCATGCATCAAAGAATGCATGTGTCACCCAGAGAACCCAAACATTTCAACAGCCCTTTCTAAAGCTTTATTTTATAAACATTGTCAGAATGAACTGTTGCTGATTATTTCTTGTTTTACCCTGGCATCCCATCTGTGCAAGAGCAGCACTACAGTTGGGAACAGACAGTAAAAACACCTTCTGCAAAACCAATTAGTGAAAAGTGCAAACTACAGTTTTCCCCACCCTTGACAGGCAAGTAACGACCAACAGATCTGTTCCTGTTCAACAGAGCTGAGCACAAGGTGAACCAGAGGTTGAACACTGGATGACAAAGTGACTTACTGGCTTTGTGGAGAATCTAGATTTTGTATGTGGATTTTCCCTTCTCAGATCATTTCTAGATATAGACTATGTCTTTCATAAGCTGAGATTTTTTTTTTCTAGTGAGACATTTACTGTGCTAACAGCATCCAAAGAAACACTCTAATGGACTGCATTGATTACACTGCCTTGTATACATGTATAGGTGGCAAACAGTGTCCCTAAGTTCAGAATCTAGATCATAGATAAAAGCATAAATACAAGGAGAAAATTATACTGTTGTACTTGATTCTATTTTTGCAATTCAGCCAGAAAAACAACCATTCATGCATCAAGTTGAGACTGTACAGCATATGGAAAAATGATGCGATTCCACGCACACTGTGTTCATTATAGTGCCATTGTACATTAAAAACCCTAGGTAAAATCCAGGGAGTGGAAATTTTCCATGCTGCTCTTATGGATAAGAGGTTGCAAGCAGTGCAGGAATAGTTTTCTGATGTTATAAAATGCTTGGACAATACTCAAATGATGGGACATCAAATGCTTTTTTTAATTCACAGCAAATTTTGTCAGAAAAAACACCTGCTAAGTGACGTCAGAGTCCTAGTAGCAATGTTCCCAGGGGAAAAAAATGTCTGCAGAAATAGTAATCAGCCAAGATACTTATATTTGTGTAAATTATTGCATGTAAAGTATTCTAAAAGGATAAATAATGGTTTTGGCAACCCAGCTACTTGCCCTGGTTACCAAATTCAGGAAGGTTATTTTGATGCCATTTTAGTTCATCCAGGGTTCTTTCCATGCAGATCTAAATGGATATACCATTAATAATGGAAGTGTTGGCACTGTCATACCTAGAATTATTGGTTTCAATAAGGAGCATATGCCTCTTGCAGAGACACTGAGGTCACCTCTGTCCCTGCAGGGACATCCATCACCACGGCCCTGCAGCACACAGCTACAGCAGGGCAAGTGCCACACACACACACACACACACCCCCCACAAAAGCCATAGAGCTGTACTGAGAACCAAAGGGAACTTACTTGTGACAGCAATGTTGATCTCTCCTGACCTTGGTGTCAGCTCTCCGTCCTGGGGCAGCTGGGACATCCCAGAGGTGCGCAGGGGCTCCAGGCTGAGCGAGCTGTCGTTGGCAAAATCGCCCAGTGCCAGGCGCCTGCTGGCTGGCTGTCCTCTGCTGAGCCTCTCCATGTCAAAGGCTACATTATCTGTGCATGGCACGTTTGGCTGGGGGAGAAAACCCAACTCTGGGTTACAGTGCTGAATACTCTACACCCAGCAGACCTATAAATTCAGTAAAACCAGACATAGACACTTCTTCAGCCGCTACGGCTGTACTCATGTCACACAGAGAAGAAACACATGAATCAGGACACACAGAGAAACACAACTTCTATCTGAAGTCACTTCTTCAGTCCACCTTAAAGAGGTGGAGGAAGAAGCAGAAAAAAGGATAAGATTCAAGGAAGGGTCTCAAATACACTTGTGTCATAGCCTGTGGCTGTAGGGTTTATCACCATAAGCAACTCTGAATTCTACTGCATCCTCTTCTGAAAACTCTGAAAATTTGTTATCAATTTGTTATTATTAAAATTTGTTATCAATTGCAAAAACAGATCATCCACAATATATCTGCACAATATATCTGTTTTTTCATAAAATGTGCAAATTTGCAACTGACAGCTAAAAATGGAGGCTTGATTATTCTCACTGGCTTGATTCAAAAGGCAATTTTTAGACAGTCTCTCCATCTGTTCTTCTCTTTCTTCTGAAAAGAGCATCGTTCCCACGTTATGATTTTTTTTTCTCATACAGGAAAGATTAAAAAAATCCTCTCTGAGGTTCTTCACTGTTATCTCTTTGTGAACTGGGTGACCAAAGCAGCCCTCAGGTACCACAGAAGTCATAGCTGCTTGAGGAAAACTCACTGGCCTCAACTAGGGCATGGCTTTTAATGTGCAAATGTACAACTGCCTACAGCAGACCACAAGAACAAGAGACTTACAGAGTAAATTTAACAAGGAAAGGTTGAAAGGAGTTGAGAAAAGGGAAGATTACAGAGAAACTATTAAACCTCCAGCATAGATAAGAAATTGTTATAAAAGCAAATATAAAAAGATATTCTCAATGACCAACCAGGGAAAGGAGGAACAAACCAGCAGCGAAGAAGTTGGTACAAAAACCCAAATGCTTTCTGAGTCAGGATACTGGAACACCCTTCCCCCTATCTCCCCTACAATTACTCCTCCTGTTCTGGGTCTCAGATGTGGGAGGAGGAAAACCTCACAACAGCAAAACTTACCACAATTCCCAGTGCCTTCAAAATGTTCAGTTTACACATTGGACATGTACAGTGCTCACTGAGCCATGGATCCACGCAGACTTTGTGGAACACGTGCCTAGAAGAACAGAGAAGACACACATAGTTAGCAAACAATTCCATTTCATACAAGGAGAAGTACTTTAGCAAACTTTTGGGTAGCTGTTTTTTTAATTAAACCCAGCAGCACAAGTTTTAGAATTGCCAGTATTCTGTGCTGGTGGCAATAATTAAAAACAATAAATCAAAAATTCTTTCATGTCGTTGCCACACTTTACTAATAGTTCAACTAGGAAGAAATACTTGAAAGGATGATTTTAAATTTTTCCACCCCTTTTATTGTGGATATGAGTATGCACATGGGCAGAAGAAATAGGGTAATACCATTCCCACCATAATCTTGCCTAAAGTCTAGTCTCAGTTTTGATGTAGACCCTTAGCCATAAATTGGGGAGGAAAGCACAGATCCATCAGCAGTCAATTTTACTCACAAGTCAGTGGAACCAACCCAAACACACTTATGTTTGACTTTGAAAGGGCTTTTATAACTACCCCAGCAAAGTAAAAAGAAGGCTTTTACTGTGATCAGTATTTCTTCATATCAAGAAGGAAAACATGTCCATCATCATATGATGGTCATCATTAAAAAAAGGAAAAGTAAACTGAGCTTCTGCTAGCACAGCAGGGAACTCTGCAACAGACAAACTGCCACCTACACTGCACATAAAACATTAGTCACATACGTGGATATAAATGTAACACTGTTGAGACTGATATAAACCAGTGTAACAAGGAAGGACTCTGCAGAGATCAAAACAAGGTAGCTAAATTAAAGGAAATAAAGGAAATGTCCTCCAAGCTATTCAAAAGGCAAAGAACTTTCCAGATCACGTTCATGGCAAAAACAGGTATCACTAGACTTTCTACACAATATAGCTTTAGCAAATACTCTTAGTAACCTAGTGTGAATTACTGCCTACAATAATTCCTAGGATAAGAGCTCAGATCTTTCATTTGCAGTGGCACTGACTGCAGAGCACAAAGCCATTAAGCACAGGCACACCCGAACTCGACAGATCATGACAAGGATCAGCAATTACAAGGGCTGCTTAGTCAGCAGCACTGGAACCAGCAGGCGAAGGGTCAGGGGCAGAACAAGGAGTTCTTGCCATATTTGAGGCATCAGCATGGGCTGTAAGAGGTCATGCATGTCCTCAAGGCAGCATAAAGTTGAGATCTCTCTGTCCCCTCCTTTCTCAGGTTATGTTTACTGCTCTACGCCTCAGTAAGCCCCTCCTGGAGTCTGGGACTTCTTTCCTTTCTGCCCCTTGGGATTTTAAAACCAGAGACCAAATGAGGTATGTTAACAGATAATTCTCTTTTGAATCTCTGGAAAGGCCAACTGAAACTGCTAACAAACACTGCAAAAGACAGCATAAAATTGTGTTCTGCCTATGGCCACTCAGACTGATGGAGGGACTAGAGTATATCAACATAATTAGGTTCCAGGCAGCTACAGCTCTATGTCCTACCTGTACTAAAGATGCACAGACTTAGAGTGTAAAATACTCAACAGAAGACAGGCAGGGAGCAAAAGAACTTTGTTTATCTGTATAATGTAATGCAGGAATAGAAACTCAGAGAGTCTCAGCTAGTCCCTTGGCTGGTCTGTGTCCTCCAGCAAGATGACAATCACAAACACCAGGGTATGGACAGTGCCTTCTGTTCAAATAATGACTCAAAATACAGACTCACTCCTCTTGTTATTAAGTCCTACTGCATTCCCTTTATTACTCAGAAAACTGCAGGAAACAACGTTTAGAAACCCTGGGTGATAGAAAATGGTTTGCAACCTTCTGGCACATACAGAGATGATATTTTTCTGTGTTAGGCAAATTATGGCTTTTATTTGCTTATGTTTTCTTTAAAGTCTCTGGAGTCTGTTTTTTGAGAGTAGAACAAACCTGAAAATCTAATATTTTGGGAAACAGCAGACATCAAGACTCCACAGAAGTATGAAAACAGTTTTATTATATTGTTATCAGCTAATCAGTGCTGCAGAAGCACTCAGATCAAGTGAAGCAGGCAACTGATATGGATGCCAACATGTGTCCACTAAATATTATGGGTTACTTTTCAAAGTCATTAGCAGCTTGATACACACATATATATATATTTTCAGCTCAGTTATTAGTGTGACCTCCTAATTCTTTGCTTTTAGTACCTAAACCTTTAAGGATGTTTATTAATGTGTTTCAAAGAAGTGCAGTTCTCCAAAGGTTATTGATTCAGATCAGTATGGCTCTGCCTACTACTTATGCAGCTTCTTTGCCCCTTAAAAAGTTTGCTGATAGCGTCACTGTGGCTCAGGCTCTGTCTGGACTTCTGTTTGCAAGAATTAAAAAGCAGTTATAGAGCAATGAAGAGAGTAAACAAAAAATATTTAAAAACCTCTCAGTCTGACAGAGTGAGCCCTTGCAATTTCTGCCATCATAAACCTCCATCTCCCTATTTCCATCACTTGCCTTCCCAGACTGGAAATCTGAACAGTTCCTAGTGAGTTGGTCACGATGGCTGATGATGTTCCCCCAGGAGCCACACACTGGGGAGTCAAGTGTGACACAGCTCCTGCTGCTTTTCCAGCCTGAGGGCTGGAGGAAGCACATCTGGGAGCACTGAGGGAGTCTCCCATGCGGGCACAACTCCAGACAGGTGACCTGCAGGTATTTTTCCACTCTGTCAGCACACCCAATCCAGTTGCCCTCCAGCTTGTAATAAACACCTTAACGCCAACTTTTGTGCAACAGCTTCTTTGCAGCACTTCACAGGCAAAAAAGTGAGTTAGAAATCTCTTTTGGTGATGTAAAGCCTCCAAATTCACACGTCACGTAAGGAGAGGGGTTGGCATGAGTTTATAAGTGCTGTTTCCCAAGAGCTCACAACACTTCTTTGCTCTTAGGGCAGCATCTCACTGAAGGGATCTATCAACGTGCTGCTGCAAAGTAGCATCTGGCTACTGCTGAAGGCAGGTGTTCCACTCACCCTGGGGTCCAAACCTCCCAGTCAGGCCAGCACAAGTCCAGGACAGCCAGCACAGCTGGAGGGATGTCTGGCCTGCTGCAGAGGGAAGGACAGGGCCAGGTCTCCCCCCAAGCAGGCAATGTCAGGGTAGAGCTGTCTCTGTGCTTTCCACAGATACACAGAATTGCTGGAGGGAGGACTGTCCTTGCAAGCAGGTAGCAGAGCAAACTGGGGTTGTGCAGAGGCACTGCAGCAAGCCAAACGGATGCCATCCAGACACTGTGCTAATTTGGCCCTAAAAAGGCAGCTATTTGCAGCTGCACAGAATCAAACAGATGAAAATCTGTCTTAGTCACTTTCTTCCTTCTTGCCCATTAAGAATTTGGCTCAAAAGCTATTTATTTTAACACATTCCCTACTCCTTTACTTATTTTCCTACCTTGTCAATTCCTTCCTTCCCAGGCCATTTTTCTGCCCTTTCCAATGTCACTCTCTGCTCTCCTCTAACCTGTCACTGTGCTCTCCCCTTCCCTTATCTCTCACTAGTCCTTCACACTACCTCCTCCTTTCACTTTTCACCTGGTGCCTGCTCAGCCCCTAGGTGCAGCAGTGTGATGGTAGAGTAAAATTATCTGAATAAAGAAAATTGTCCACAAGGTTTGACTTTTGCTAGGATCCCTCTGACATTTGCTTCCTCTACTTGTTTTTACCTTACATAATGACATTCACAAAAAACACATTCCTCAAGCTTGTGAGCCTAAACCAGATGGCTGCTTGTCCCTCTGTGCACTAAAGTATGTCCATGGGCTGCTGGTACTGAACGTATTTCTCTCTCTGAAGCACAAAATGAACAACTGCAAACAATGCAGTTGAATTTCTACCATTTTCACCTCAGTTTATTTTTCAATTGGTCACGATTTCCCACCTGCCAGAAAACTTTACATGACAAATACGGTGTTTCCCAACAGAATTTGAGGTGCAACTTGCTCAGCTGTGAGTAGGTTTTGCCTGCTGTGTGTCTGCCCAGACCAGACTACTCTAGTAAGGCACAGAGTGACAGACCATGCTTAACTGCAAAGAACAATTGTGGTACCAAAGGGAAATGCTACTTTTCAGTTGATAAAAGCAGCAAGGATGTCACATGTCAGTGATTCCTACTATCTAATGATTATAGCTTCCTCCATGGGCACAGTAAGAAAACTTCCACACTTCCATTTGCTTCCTCTTGGTTAAGTCATTTTCTCCATGATTTTCTTGCAATTCATTTGTTTTTCTGGCTTCGAGACTCTCTTGTAGTGTTTTTTTATTGTTGTTGGTTTTTCCTTCTCATGTGTGTTGGTTGTTGATTTTTTTTTTAAGCTAAGATTCCATGTTCCACTAAAATGGGAGGTTGAAGAACGAGGAAGAAGAAAGTGACTAAACCTCCAAAACAAGATTTGGGGAGAAGCATCTCACATGCTGAAGACTGAAAAATCTTACACAGAATCTGAAATTTATTGGCCTCATCTCTGTGGATACTCATTGGTTTTTCATCTACAGATACATAAATGTCTTGTGGAAAGCATCCATCTCACTGTTAGTGTCTAGCCTAGATGGTTTTGCATTCAACTTAAGGCTGAGCTGCAACAGATGAAAAGTGAGATGCAAAAAAAAGGAGTAGAAAGCAAACATAAAGTTGTCATACAGCCTTTGGCAGGAATGTAATCTGAGCCTGCGCTGACCTTACATTCTTGTGAAAAACAGAACAGAAAAGGATCTACACAAGAATCTACACAAGAGCCTTGATATCTCCTTGACATGGGAGACTGCCCTGGGGGAGGCTGTGCTGAGGTAGCAGCCAGGGGCACCTCCATCCAGCTCCCTGAGCAGCTGAACTGTCTGCAGGGCTGCAGCCACCCAAAAGAATCTGAAGGAAAAGGACTTGGTTAAATAGTCTGTATCATATCTGCAGATACCAGTAACATCCCCACTGCTTGTACAGAGGGCTTGTTTAACTAAGGAAGTTAACTTCTAATCCCAGCACTGCCTTGTGCTCAGCGAAATAAGATGCTTTCCTACTGGGGAAGACTCACTCTCTTCACTGGCAAGACCTCCCCCTGGCCCCTGTTCAGTATCAAGAGAAAGGCACAGAGAGAGACTTGTGAACTTTCATTCCACATCCTTGAGCCTCACAGGACCACCCTGAACTGCACAAGTGAAGCTTTCTTAAGAGGCAGTTTATCAAACCATCATCTTGGTGCAAAATTGGTGTGCAGTTTCTGCAAATTTCTCCTCCAATTTCTAAATAACCTTCTGCACATCAAAAGACAAGGGCTTAATCCACATATGCAAACTTCACTTGAGACTACAATAAATGATGTATGTAACTTTGTGGAATCATTACTTACATTTTTAGTACATTTTTTAGGGCAAGAGGACATCATCTTTTGAGTAAAAATGACCGAATTGTAAAACAGCAATGCACACACATCCACATGACAAAAAGCTCCCAAATCTTTACAATCTAAGACCAAGCTCTTCTATTCCCAAATATTTTGATGAGTTTCTAAATAATCATTTGCAGGATCTAATAACTAAACACTGAGAATCTAAACCAGATCATTGTTTCCCACTGCCCAAGAGGTAAAGAACACAGAGAAAAGTAAACTGAATTAGAGTTCTGGCCTCAGAAGTAGAACACACACCAATTTTGATCAGTAAGATATAATACAATACTGGTTTCCTTTTATGATGATAGAAATACATTATGCATTAGAAGACAAATATTCCAGCTATTCAGAACAGCCTGCAGGAGGATTTAGAAGACTGATAATGAGCTCTTACTGCTGCTGCTGCCTGAAGATCAACTCCAACACATGACTGTGTTGCTTCTAGAGTATCATGCAGAACCATTTATATACCAAGCACAGGCCAAATTGCTGCATAAACTTACATGTGGGTTTTTTTGTGCCCAGAGATAAGGAGAAAGCTTTGCATTTCAGAACACAAGGGAAAGATGTCCTTGGTAATAGCTTAAGGCTACCAAAACATATGATTCATCAAAATCAATCACCAGGTAGAAAAAGCATTTAAAAGCATCTCTCAAAGAGCAAATATCCCAAAACAACTCAGGAATGGAAGTGGGATGGAAACAAACTGAAAATCTGTAAATGTCAAGAGAATGGCATAAAGGAGGAGGAAATTGTACATTTTAAGCACTAATGCAGGATATCCAGCAAGTACAATCTTCAGGCACAAGCCAAAAATCACACTGCACTGGAGAGACCAAAGACAGATGACAGCACAGTGGCTGACTGATGCCAGAGGAGGCATGAAGGTTGCAAAGTCTGCATTTCTCTTTCCTACAGTTTCAGAAAGCAGCAGCCAATGTTGCATGTTCACTGTCCAGAATGCTGCATGGGTCATTATACTGAATTTTTGAGTCTGCTCACAGCTTAGTCCTTAACCCTGCACCCCTCACCACTCTACCACCTTAATGGCTCCACTGCTGATATGCCCAAACTGCTGATTTTCAACACCATTCTGCTTAACCTCCACTGTCATACCAGTGCCAGTGCTCACCTCCTGCTACCATGGTCTAAAACAAAGTGGCTGTTAGCAGAAATGGAAACATCCAACAAACAGGTTTAGAAATGACAAGGCACTTATCACATGAAATGAAGCAAAGGAACACCAAGAGAGAATAGTTTCCAAACAAAGCAACTTTACTAGCTTACTTGCACGGTAAAATGCGAACAACATCGTTCTGCTTGTAACTCTCAATGCAGACAGCACAATGATCAAAGTCTGGGTCTGTTTCCTAAAATGAATAGAATGAAAATTCAAGTCAAGAGTTGAGGCTATGACAAATGTCAAAGTAGTTGTGACTAGTACACAAACTGCATTGTGCCAAGTGGCTGCTACTAAGATGATATAAAACCAGTAACTGAGTTGTTATATTCCAACATGACTTAAACATACATAAAATTCACATATATACAAAACTCTCCCCTCATTTGGAGCTGGTAAATGATAATATGAAAATAAGCTAGGCCTAAGGTGATTCTAATGTTCAGTTAAATCACTATAAAAAATAATGGCAATTTTCCTAGAGCCTTTACTTCAACTTTGAGCTAAACTTATGTTTTATTCAGGTTTTTTGTTGGTTTGTTTTGGCAGGATAAGAATCCTGGGATTCACTTTTATAGCCAGAACCAGCACATTTTACTTATTGCTGAGTAGTCCCATACTTTTGTCTGCTGGTTATTATCATCATTCTTACCCAGACATGAATGTGAGCATCACTGACTGGCTGGCTCCTCTCTTTTCTTTGTTTTCCAGAAGTTATGATTGGGTTTTTAAAAATCATACTTTTAAATATGAGAATTTAAAATTTTGAAGGAAAAAGGCATGACTTCATTTGGATACAGATATGGCATCAGCAATATGTATTCAAACTGTTTGGGCCTGTGACACTAAACAGGTTATGCTTTCTCTTAGTTCAACTTCATTACAGTTTTTGATGCCAACCAATCCACAAGCAAGACACCAAGTCAGGGACCACAGCAACACCACAGCCACTCCTGGGCAGCTCCAGGCAGTGCTGCACACAGAGAATCTCATGGCTGCTCTCACAAAGGACAGGCTGTTCTCACTCTCTTCACCTGTATGTGCACCTCGTGCTGTCTGTACTGCAACCTACATGTCACCTGCCACTTCTGAATTTATGCTGTCAAGACAGCAGTGTGTTTTACTTTGGAAAAGTTCCCATTCTCTCTGTGTACTCCCACACCCACAGAAAAGGTTTAGTGCAGTAGGGTGTTTTGAAATAAAACTACATAGGGCAGAAGAAAGAGCAGAGAGATATATTTCCTGCCTTCTCTCAGGGAGCAAATTTTTCCATCACTTCCTAATCTTCCACTGATAAGAAAGATAAAAGGGAATCACAATTAAGGAAATAATCTCTTAAAAATCAAATCATAGCCAGAACTCCCTTGCCTTTTGAAAATCTGAGATAAAAATTAAGCAAGATTAAGTGTCTATTTTTTCCTTTCAGAATCAAAGACAAAGCAGTAACTACTCACAAAAGTGCAAAATGTTTAGGACTTAACACACCATATATTTTCATTTGTATACTGTTGAGAACTACTCCTGGAGTAACATTTAGTGTGTTTAAGGAAATACCTGTTTATGCTCCCTCTCAGCTTACTGGGTATTTTACATAAGAGATTATCCTCTCTCACCTGTCTTTTAAAATTATTTTTACTTTACACAACTTATATATGGAATGACTCTAGGCTTAAAGAGTTCCACATAAACAGTGCTAACCCTATGTACTCCTGCCAGCACACACCCCCAGCAGCCAGCACACAAACCCACCCTCAGCACAGTTGCCAGATGGAGTGCAAGTAGTATCTAAGCAAGAAAATCTTCTTTGAAATGTACAGCCTTACAGCACACGATGATACCAACGCTTACACACAATATGTGCCGCAGCACAAAGTAAACCTCCAACAGGAAGGCAAAGTCATAAAGCAGGAACAGAAAGAACGAATGTGAGATTGTTTCCCCAGCAAAAATGAATCATGATGCTCGAGTTTACCATGTTGAAATCTTATTCTTATACCTTATCACCTTTCTTTACTGTCCTGGTTGTCAATTTACCAATGGCTTTCTTGGCAGCATCTCCGAGACGACGCTAATAAAGTGACAGAGAAGAGAACACAAATTAACCCTGATAAACAAGCTTCATTAGTGTCCTTTATAATGACTTATTTGGGCTCAATACTCCATTGCAATACACACTATGGCAGCAGGCCAGCCCATAAGACAAAATGCATACACAGCAAAGCACAGATTTGTCAAGAAGAAAACAACTCAACAGTTGAATCCCCAAATGCAGTTCATTAGCATGGGCATCAACCTCATGGACTGTCCAGAGAAGTGATCCAACAGTTGTGTGCAAAACAAATCAAACCCAAGTTGTAGAATAAAAGCTGAAGCCATGTGCCCTCCTAATATTTCTGCTACATTCTGCTCCTATTGGGTTTTATTCAGTGTGCTGCAATACACTGCTTGTTCTTTTAAGCTTGAATTATTTTTATATTCCCCTCCACCCAGAGCTGGCTGATCTTATTCTGAGATGCAAGAGATCCTCTCAGTGTAACCTAGTTTCCCTCTTGCTGTTACCCGAAGCCACCAGAATCTCATAAAAGAAAAAAATTATGGGTCATGAAATCTAAATAAGCCAATACAGACTTAAATAAAGCTGAAATTAATACTGGGTTGAAGATAACCTCAATCTGAATGCAGAGGCCAAGCTTTTTTTTTGCTGTTTATGCTGCTTTATGCTGACTTTATGACTACCACTGTCCCCACTCTGCCAGGGGAGGTTTAGGTTAGATAATAGGAAGAAATTTTTTATGGAGAGAGCCATCAGCCATTGGAATGTGCTGCCCAGGGAGGTGGTGGATTCACAATCCCTGGAGGTTTTTAGGATGAGACTGGATGTGGCACTTAGTGCCACTGTAGTGTTAGACTTGATTATCTCAGAGGTCTTTTCCAACCAGGTTGATTCTATGATTTTCTATGACTCTATGGCAGGAGCCATTTCTGCAATTCCAGTGCTGATTTCCTACTGTGACACTCAGTTCTTGGCCAACAGAGAAAGACTGTTTGCCAGGTGGGCCCTGGGACCCCAGAGACAGGGCACTGAGTGGAACAAAGATGCTGTCTTCTTTCAGGAACATGAGACATCAGATTTGGTTTACACTGACTGGAAAAAGGGAAGTTCATCTATTTCTTCCTTCGTCTCCATCCTGCACTAAGGACTGTGCTGTTGAAAGGGACAGGCTGATTCTGGGAATGGAAACTGCACCTACCAAAACCTCCCAGGCAGCTTGCAACAAAAGGTGTGGGGTTTGTGCCCACCTTCTACAAAGCTGAAAACATAATCCTTCCTAAGGTGGACAGGATACAGGATACCTCCTGCATCACACATTTCTCTGCACACAACCTGAAACCATGGTTGCTTTCATTTGAGAAACACAATGACCTCAGAAGTCTACCACAACCAACTGCACCACTTATTCTAAAATTACATAAGCACTTTTTTTTCTTGTGGTTTTCACAGAACAGCAGCTCTTACTTTATATTTTTTAAAGCACAGATTTGAAAAAAAAATAATCAGATACTCAGTCCCAGCTACTGAAGTATATCCACGTAGGAAATGCAGCATCAGAAACAGAGCTGGGAGGGGGAAATTATATGCTTCCTAAAGTCAGAACTCTCACACCAACTGCAGTATGTGAGAAATTGGCCAATTTAAGCAAATCTAAATTACATGCCCTGCAACAAGCATATTGGCCTGAGTGCTTAGCACCACAGAACACCCTGGCACACTGCTGGAGTAGATAACCACTGCATAACCAAAAGTGTGATTGCTAAGGAAGGAATGAGGTTGAACAGGCATTTAGCTTAAATGCTCAGCACTACCAGCTAAGTAATCGTGGGTAGTAGTTCTATTTCATTCTACTGCATGTGATTGTATAGGCACCACAAGAAATCTTACAGAAAGATTATTTTCCTGTTGGGGGAATACTACTTCAGTAGAACTCTTCCAATATATTCAAATTCTCTTACATAAACAAATTTGGTAAACGATTACTTTCATCTCTTCCACGTAAGAGGTCAAACTCTGCCATTTTCTAATTTTAACAAATACTCTTTGATGCTAACCCTGGAAATGCTCAGGATTTGCTATTTTGCTAGGCTAGGGCACAGGCCCACAGCAGATTCTTGCCTTTAAAACCCAAAACTCGGGCTAGAAGAGGCCACTAAAACATGCATTTCACACCTCTGAGGGAAGCACACAAGAGTAGCAATGTGAAACACCAGTATCTGCTTGTGCTATCTAAAAACACAGCATGTTTCTGCTTTGACATAACTTAAAAACAAGATCATAGCCTAAACCAAGTTATTTCATCACTAACAGTACAGTCTTTGTGAAAGCTCTCAAAGCTCTTTAAAAATAAGCTGTAGCTGTCGCCACCTTGTTATTAAAGTTTAATAAGCTCAGCTTTTTAAACCACATAAAATTTTCATCAAGTTTCTCCTGACCTTTGTAAAAATCTAAAGAAAGAAAAAAGGTCATAGGAGCCCTTTCCCCATGGACCAACTGTTTGGAAACGTGGACATTTGGAAGAAGCCTAGAACCATGTAGGGGATAAAGAAGGAACAATTTAGTATTCCACAGACATTCATTAAGTTACAGTTATATTTAAACTTTCACCATCCCAGGGGACCACACTAAGTACTGGCTACAGTGTGGTCATTTAAGAATGACATCCTTAGGAAAATCTACAGGATGCCCATGGGACCTGGAGCACCAGGCACTATTTATAGTAACTGACAAGGAAATCCTTTGCCATAGCTAGAGCTTTATAAGTTTGCATGTGTTTCAGCTCTGACAGAATAGCAAAGCACTGCCCTACAGTGTATCAGCCATAGTCTGGGGGAAAAGGAGGCAGTGACTAGAATTCAGCAGCTTTCTAAGTTACCCTGGACAGAGAGATACAGCAAAGAGAGCACAGTGGATTTCCCAAGGTTTACTGATCCTTCTCAATAAAAGCCAAGGCACACTCTGGAGGCAGTGGGTCATTAAGTCCACACTAGTAAAACATTTACTTCTAAAGTTTAATCCATATTTGAGTTGATGACTTGATTTAGTCAAGATCTCTGAGTATGGCCATACATAACTCAGTTCTTAAACAAATCAAGTTGAAAAAGAATGTAAGAAAGGCATATAGGACAAAATTTTACTTAAAATATATGACCAGGAGAATCAGGCAGTCCATACCAGGTGTGATCTTAAATAAAGCTGAAAGTTAACACAGATCACTAAGCAGCTCTTTCTCTTCTTACCCTAACATTCATGACAGATTGTAGTTTGGAAATGCTTTTATACAGCTTCTGAATTACCTTATATATTGCTGAAGGTAAGAACATGGACAGAATTCATAACATGAGCTCTGTGTTCCCCTACAATACACAAGTTCAGACACAGTTTGACTTTCCTCTCCATTCCCAACACACTCACAGTCTGTATTACTCAGCCAAGACAGAATCTATTCCACTCAGGACTTAGACTCACCAAACCCCAAATGTTTTGCTTCAGTTCTATTCTTTCCTGTTCTTTAATAAGATCTATATTGATGCTGCTCAGGATGAAAACACTTTGCTACATAAAAATCTTTGTCTGGCAACATGCTCTGCCTCAGAACAAAGAGGTTCTGAACACTAGTGTGATGGACACTCCTCAGAAACGATTTGTTCTCTATGGACTATAGTGTACAGAAATATCACCTCCAGAACTCAGAGGGGAAAAAAGGAGACTCCTTACCTGATTCCTGTCACGTGCACTTGTGTACCTGATCTTCTGGATGAAGTAAAATATTAACCATGCTGAAGAAATTATCATCAAAACAATGAAAGATATTGACACAAAGACTAGAGATCCCCTACTGAAGTTTTTCGGGGGGACACGGGACCCCACTGCTATTGCCATCAGGACAGAGATGTTCTTTTCCAAGTAATTCAGGATCTCCTTCACCTTGGATTCTGTAATCATGACAGCAACAATGTCTCCAGTTCCTAGGGAACAAGGGAAAAATAATTTACATTTAAAATTCACATGGCATCTGCTCACAAGACTTTCCAAATGCAAAGCCACTTGACAACTCAAGAGATTTTAATCCAAGCCATCTATGGCACATGGAACATGCTACTGGGCACTCAATTTATGGCTTGTCCTTCAAACCCTGATTTTCACATCAAGGCATTATCATGCAAACTCTCTGCAGCTCCACACATTGTACCAGATCTCTCCTGCTGGTTACACAGTACTTCCCACGTTGTAATTACAGTGTGCAGTCTGAACTCGCTTTCAAAAGTACATTTGTTGCAGATTTTAGACTCTGAATACCCCAACAGGCAACCCTCAGATGAACATTTAGACAATGAGTGAGCACGTGGGAGCATTGCTGGAGTGGTGGTGGTGTGTGCAGTGCTGTGAACGTGTCTGTGGAGTGTTATGCAAGTTCCCCTGTGTGGTTATGTGGCTGCAAAGTAAAAGAGAAAAAAAACTTGGCAGAAGTTTGAGTGCTGATTTTATCACTCATACAAAGACACGCTTGGTAAGATTGCAAAGAGGCTGTCAGCTTCATCAGCTCCATTTTGAGTGTGCAGCCCATCTGTTTTCATAGTGTTTTGCCTCCAGACTACTTCCTGTCCCAACGGGAAAATTATTGGTACAAGGTCAGTAAGAGAACCAAACCACAAGACTTGCTGTAAAAGAACAAAATCACCTGTAGAGCAGAGAGAGAACTTATGTTTTAAAGCAAAGACCCCCATAAAGTTAAAAAAAAAAAAAAAAGAGGATATTGAATTCAGGGTAATTCGGATTAAAGTTCAAAGGAAGTAAAATTTTAGCAAAACCGAAGCCAGAAAGAAAAAAACCTCTTTTGAGTATCATTCTTATTCATCCAGATTTATTTGCTTCCTAAACTAAAAACCCTTTCAAGACCTATTTTCAAAATGCTTGCAAAGTCTGCTCATCTGCTTGCTCCATCTGCTTGCTCCAATTCACATTCCCTCAGAGAGGAACTGTATAAGGCAGCACCAAGATTCTGGATTTAGAGTGGATTTAAGCTACAAGGAACCTAGTGTGACAGTAGGGAACATGAGGTCCTATTTTAACACAAGGCATTAGTTCAAAGTCTTTTAATCAAAAACTAATTTTGAAGAAGTGACTGTATCCACAAAATGATGTGCAAGAGCCAAAAGAGCAGCATCTTTGAAACCCAAGGCACAATAACTCAGGGTGACAGCTATGTAATTATCCAGAGTGGGGACTTTTAATAGGGTTGTGCAACAGTCTTGAATGTTATCTCGTTACTCTTTCCATTCACCATGCCAAATAGCAACTTTTGCACTCACTATCATCGGTTTTCATGGGAAGTTCACTAATGCTGATGTTCAGATTGTGCTGGCAGAACTACCCAAAAGAATGAAAGCTGATCATCTCAGAAATTAAGATCTACACAGTAGTTGAAAAAACATTCCACAGCTCCCAAATTGCTTCCCTCAAGAAATGTCATTTTTTTTTAATTTCAAATTGAAACAGCAAAGACATTCAGGCCTTGTCCTACTATGGTGTGTCGGAGTAGAAAAAGAAAGCTCAGTGTTTCCTTCTGAATACATTTAAAACAAGTTGTTCCAGTAACTTACAACCAAACTCCAATACAACTTATGGATACAACTGATTTAATTAATCTCTAGTATAGCACAGAGTCACACAAGATCAGCTTTAGTCCAGCTCTCCAAAGACACTTCAGTACCAAGTCTGGTTTCATGCAAAGTAACCAAGAAATTTAATGGGCAGCAAAGCTCAGAGTAAAAATCCACCACTTGCTTTATTTTCATGGAAATCTATTCAGACTCCTATTTGCCCAGCTGGAAAGACAGTCCCTGCCCAGACTTGCAACACGTTTTTACAGGGCAAGAGCCACCTTTCCTGCAAGATTCTGTATGCACATACAGCACGTGCTCCTGTGACTCCAAATCCCTGCAGCTCACACAGAGCAAGATAACCAAGAGCAGATAATTTATACTGCCTGATATTTTCCCCAGACTTTGCTTCTGCTCTTCATATCTAGTTCAGATAGTGAAGAAAGGCAGGGAAGGGTGCAGGGGGACTGTATTCCCCAGGGCACATGTTCTGCTACGCTTCTCCAGTAGGAATTTATTTGCACCAAGGAATTATGCTATTATCAAGGCAGCAGCACTCAATGTAATGTTCTAACATGATTTACAGCTATCTGCAAAGCAAAGATGACTAAGATTTTCTGATACTAGCCCAGTCCTATCTGAATCCAAAGCTGTAGCCTCTACCTATTCCCTTCTGCCCAGGGAATGTGACAAAGCTGACAGTCTGTCACGCGTTTTATATAAAGCCCAGGACAATGGGAACCTCTGGCATCACTGCAAAGTGATTTGCATTCCAAATGACTCAACTGGGAACAGCCAAAGTGCTACTGCTGCTTCTGACCCTGCAAGAGCCAAGGAGAACTGCAGAAAAGAAAAATAAATTGTGCCTGTTTAACATACTGAAGCTCAGTGGAAACTGGGACTTGGTTCATCCGTATTTTTGTCGGGGGCATCACCCTAAATAATTTTAGCAAGAGCTCCCTGTTTGAGAACAATTGGGGGCAGGAGGAGACAGTGACTCATTTATTTTAAGCACCTTGAAACCTTGCATTTCTGAAACTTAAGCAGAAAAAAAAATCCTCAGGTGAGCACAGAAAGACTAACAGTGTTTGTGAAACTTAAACTACGGTCTTACTACAGAATCTCACGAAAAGCAATATTCTCCTCAGCCAAGAACACAGTGTCCAGGGAAAAGAAGCTGGAATGCTAACTAAAGCCAATGAACTCCGCACCAAACCATAGATGACAAGCTAGGACAGACGGTAGGCATAAGATAAATATTGATGCTTGTAAATATAAATCATTTAATTGCTATCATCCAAGCCCAGGCAGCTCTTTCCAGCTCACAATTTTACCATGCGCATGTTTAATTAGGAGAGTTATACAACTCTGTGTATGAAAAGGGATGAAGCTGTGATTAATCATTATATCACTGCAATATTATATTGTGAGAGGAGAAGAGAGAACTTAAAAACAAGAATATGGGGGAAACAGCGACGTCCAGAAGGTTCCTGTAGAGCTCCTAAGGAAATGTCTTTGCTCTCTCACTAACCTATCTGTATCTCCTAGCAATTCTAAAAGAGCACAGTTAGGAAGTCATCTCAAAGAAAACTTGCTAGTCTCATCACAAGCAAATGTTTGTGGTGGTTTTGTTGTGGGTATTTTTTTTGGTTGATTCTTGACTACCAAATGTTTGTCTGAAACTGAAAGTATCAACAACTATGACCAGGACACCAAGTTAAAGGCAGGCATGGTTCAAAGAGCAGACACCATCCCTTGGAGGTCACAGGGAATGGCAGCCTGGCAAAACACAACTGCCAAACAGGTGGGATTTTTCCCCCTGAGCTTGTGAACAACTCAAGCAACTGTTTGGTCAATGCTCAGGGAGAAGAACAGGTGAGAATTCCTCCTGGGCATATGAACAACCTGGCACTGAACTGCTGCTGCAATGCTTCAATCTCCTCCTTGCAGATGGGGAAGGCAAAACCATAGATCTCATCTCGAGCGTGGCAAGTGTCAGACCACCTGTGAGAGGAACCTGAGCTATTCTGATTTGATGTAACCAGGTCTGCAGAGAACTGAGAATTAAGTCAGATCCTTGTAACAAAGGTCAGCAGTTTGCTAATGGCTGATATTTTCCACTAAAGTCCCTGTAATTTCCCAAGTCTGACAGAGGCTGCTAATGCTGCAGACACAGCATGAGGCAGGGACTGTGCTCATCTCACGCCTGTGAAAGATTATTGTTCTCTCTTTAAATAGCAGTGAATACTTAATTTTAACCGAACCCTTTCATTACTTCATTCTGAAAACCCTGAGCTTAATCTGAACATGTATCTGAACAATTCTGCTGGTGAAAATTTCAGAGGGCCTCCTTAAAATATGCAAACAAAGTCTCCGTTTCCTGATAATGGTACAGACAGTCACTTGTGGGCTGGATTCAGGGCATGATTCAGACATTGAAATGCCACTGCCTATCTGACTGCAACAATTGGAAAATTGGAACATCATCATGATAATGCAACTGGAAATAAAAGTGTCCATCTTCACCGACCAGAGTTCTGTTAAAATCCTATAACTGTGTGCGAAGCATTTCTGAACGCATTAGATCAGAAACAAAGAGACAGCAACACACACTTTTCAGCACCCAGGAAAGGGATCAATCCTGTTCCTGTGAGTGACACATTTCTTGGAATAACATGAACTAATGGTGAAACCACTCCAACAGAATTTGGGAGTCCACAAAATGACAACAAAGGAAACAGGAGAGCACAAATGAAGTGCTACAGTTATATATGAAGTTTTGATAGAGTGATCATGAGTTCTGTGAAAACACCAGAAGACATCTGAGCTGTGAGAGAGCAGAGGTGGAAGCAAGGATTACCCCACAAGGGAAGGGATTTAGCCACAGGGGATATAATCCATGGAATCTGTGAGGTGAAGGAATGGGAAAAGGCATACTGAGCTGAGTTCAAAGCTGTGCTGCTAGAAAAATTGGGCTTGGGGAGCAGATTTTTAGAATAAAGGAATAATAAAAATTGAAAACAATAAAACAAATATTTAAATATATATGTTCTTTATGTAAAATAATCAAATTTAAACAAAAATTCCACAGCACTCAACAACAGTGGGGAAACCCACAAATTTATCAGGTACCTAAATATTTTAGTCTGATGCAAGACAAAGAAATTCGCTGTGAGGAGTAACTCTTACCATTCTGAAACTAACTGATGGAGCAGCAGACACCAAGAGGAAGAGCCTTGGCATATTTTCAGAGTGATTAAAACAGGTCTAGCTGCACATATTTTTATTTTGATCTAATCAGAAAGTAAACAAGAGCACATCCAAGCTGTCAGCACATGAGCAATCTCAAGAGTAAAATATGTTG